CTGGAAGCTATATACTAAACCAAGCCAGTGGTTAAACAGGACTTTGATGCTCACCAACTTTGTAGTGACCAAGTCACTTCATAGCAGAACAAGTTCTTCATTCAAGTATTAGAACAAGGACCCCTAACATTTCAGAACCAGGAAAGTGCCAACGTTGTTACATGTATATGCAGATAATACATGATGTAGACCTTTCCTAATTCATGCTCCACAGCAGGCATTAACCACTGGACTAGGATGCATTAATGTGGGACTAGTGGCATTTGGACAGGTCTGCCTTTACTCTCACATAAGAGTAATAGATTAATTCACATAGTTCTAGCTACCCTATCTTTTTGTAAGCTGTCTGGAGCCTTCATATTCCACTAAAATATTAATCTTCTTTATAGAGATTATTAACTAATGTAAGCATATCTTTCAGCCATATTCTACTACTCCCCCATGCATTTCCCCAAAGTTGGTGTGTGAAAGCACTGCTGCAACTTCTTTCTGCTCCTCTCTCCAAGATGAACTTGACTTTCAATTAAGAGTATTCATAATGCATAATATAACAGGTACATGAATGTGTGTCTGTAGAGCATACATAAGCATACACGTAAGTGTGTTGTATGTATGTATACATACACACAGACACAGTATACTGATTTAAATGGTAACAGAAAAATAGAAAAATCTTTAAGGAGAAAAAGATGAAAATGGTATCCAGGAGACTTTCTAGAAAGCCCAACATTCATAAATATACATAACAATTAAACAGATAAGCATAAAAAAAGATAACCTAAAGATGCCCAGGTAAAGGAAAATACTGCTTACTTAAAAATTCAGAATTCTTAAAATAGGGGTTTCAAACTATTCGAACAAACAAATGAAGTAAAATATGAGTATTTAAATACACATCTGTATGCATCCTGAATTCAAGAATTTTCAAATACCAATAGCAGGCATTTTGTCTTCTGAACTTTTACCTTTGTGAAGCAAAATTAGCTGGACTAATCTCATTTAACTTCCAGTGCCTAGCACAATGAAGGCGCTCAATAAACATTGGAGTGAAATTATAAGATTCACTTAGCCAAACATGTCTAAATCTTTCCAAAAGCTCTTAATGAGTGAAAAATGTTACTTACATCAATTCAAGTAATTTATATAGTCAGCTAAACTATTCTGTGTCTAGATCAACTTATATTTATGTCCGAAGAGTTACTACAACTCTTCCTACTGAAAAATGTCACCATGGTTATACTAAATACAGAACTTCAGAAATCCACAAGAAGACTTACCAATATACAAACGATGGGTATTACATAAGCCAATATATTTTTTAGAATAAAAAAAATATACCAGGTACCTGTCAAAAGAGTCTACTTCACAGAGATTTTATACCATTACTAAAAATAATCTTTATGGTAAATAGCAAGTGGAGTTCCCCTGTTTGAACCAGGATGCACTATTTACCATTAGCCCATAGTGTTGACAGATAAAAAGGCAACAATAACTTCCCTGTGACTCTTTCACTCTTATTTAAAAAGAAAACTTCTGATCTCAAGACAAACAGAAAGTAAGAAATGGTTCCATAATAAACCTGCTTACTATATTTAAATCTGACCCTTAATTTAGCTACACCCTAACGGGTTCAACCAAATTCTCAACCCACTGTGACCTCTAAGCAACAACCAGAGACTTGAGGCTTTTAGCTTATATCTTACAACCTGTAAAATCAAGTACAGATGGAGCTAGAAACCCTGGCTTTAGTTGACAAAGGAACAAGACTGGGCATGAGAGTTATTATATTTAACATTGTAACTATTTTTATTTTCATAAAAATTGCAATTTTATTAAAGTAAAAATATATAAAATGCTATACCCTGAAGGAAGTATTTTGACTTTAATTAAAAGATAAAATTATTTGTGAAAATTTCTCATTGCTAAAACAATTCTTATAGAAAACTACTAGAACTGGTTCAATTATAAATAATATAACTAGAATATATAGTAATCAAGTTTCTGAAATGATGTCTCATATGTTTTGTATCTTCATATAAAAAAGCTTACATATAAACCTTAGGTTTATATACACAGCACTTGGTCACACAAATTTGGAATATACAAAAAAAAGTTTGGAGGACTTTTCTTATCTTTTTAAGTACTGAGATCCACTATTACATACAACTTACAGGAAAAGCATCAAAATTCTAAAATTAAAATCATGTCTCAGCAAAAATAACATAAGCAATACAAAACAAGAGATATTTATATAGCCTCCCACTCTTTTTCTATCATCTGTATTCAGTTATTTTCCTGGGTATTAGTTAAAGTGGGCAAAAGCAACATAAACACTTTGACTACCTTAGTTCAGAAAAGAAAATTACTGACTGGATTGTTCAGATAATTTCAATAAACAAGTTATTCTGTTTAATCCACTACCTCGGATAGGTGAGAAGCAATGACATAAATTGAAATCAACCTTTTCCAGTTTTACTGTAAGTTTTAGAAAATTACAATATTTTACCTAAGATCATCTAAAATTCAAGTTAAGTACATGTGTATATAAAATAAATGATCACAATTTAAAAGGTAAATTATAGCATGATGAGAATTAATCTGCACTATACACACTGATATTGATTTTGTTTTCTTTTTACTAAGATTTAATAAGAGCACCTTTAAAAAATGTATGATTCAAAGGACCAAGTTACACTCAAAGACAGAAAAAAATAGAAGGGGTCCAATGTTTAATGCAAACAAGCAAAAATCTACCTAAAATCCCAGATGCTCAATACATAGTCATAAAGGGTAAAATTATGGTGACAAACTTCAGATAGCTCAATGTCAGGTACAATAATAAAACTGTCATTGTGTTATATAGATAAACTTCATTATTAGACATTTATACAAGGAGTTAACCCTTTAAAAAAACAAAAATATTTTTTTGTAAAGCTTGTGTAATCTGTACCTATTCACTTGCAATATGAGGTACTTTAGAAAATGGTACATTTAGCTTTGGAGATTTAGCAAGTTTATTCTCTTTGAACTTCTATTTTTAGCGTTAGGTCATTATGAGTACTTATAATTTTGGAAAAGAAGCATATTTTGTTACTACTACTTGGAAAATTTGCACACCTAGTTGTCAATTATTGAAAAGTACTCAGTTAAATCAAATAATATTAAATAAAGACAAAACTACTCAGTATGTTTTAATGCAACAGGTATACATGAAACAAATTAAAGAGACTGAAAATTAGGACAAAGAATTAAAACTCCAGAGGTTATTTTAACAACTAGCAACAATGAACAAACCAGGTAATGTTAAATCTTAAAAATGACACTAAGCAATTTTAGTGGAAATAATGAAGCCAACTTTTAAGACAGCATTAGAAAAACCTATACATAAAGCATAAAACTATGCTCAAGTGGGTTTTCCCTAGAAAATAAATAAGACTTCTAAAATCTGTTATATATCAAATTGTAAATGGCCAAAAAAAATGTCAAATAGATCTTTTGAGATCTATAAAGTGTATTTCTTTAAAATCTAAAGCAAAATTTTAAAAAAGCAAATTAAAATGTACCACCAGAACTTTATAATCTAATTAGACTTGTTTAAACTGAACCACTAAAAAGTCATATGACTGCTCCTAATTACTGAAGTTCCTTGATGAAAGTATATACCACTATTTCTAAGTAGATAATTCACCATACCATTTCTAAGGAAACTCACCAATAATATCAAACAAACAAACAAAAATGAGAGAAAGAATGGAAATTAACCACAGGATTCAACTCAAACAATAAGCTCTTAAGGAGAGGGGGACAGAGTATGTTGGCAGGTGTCTGCAAGGAGCTAGATAATACAATGGAATCAGTTTTCATTCTGCAGAACAACCATGAGACTTGCTGCAATGTCAGCTCCAAGCACACACTGAGGGACTCCAGAAAATGCTCATTGATCATGCAGCACTTTATAATGCGCATAGGCTTTTTTCTCCTGCTAACCCCGCCTAGCTTCCCTTTGCAGCTCATTCTCCCAAGCCCTCTCCTCATAATAAAATCTCTTCCTGAAGATAGTGAAATATTTAATAAATTATCTTAGTCTAAGTATTAGGAATACTTCTCACCATCACAAAGCCTCTTTATCTGAATTAGCCAGTTTTTTCTTAATGAGGGGGAAAAAAACCCTAGAACCCCATAGATAAGAAAATAGGATTTAAATATCTATACCTATAAATGCAAATGTTTGATAGTATACTACAGCCAAGGCCAAAAGCAATTATAGTTTCACTTTGACATGTATTTCCTTGAACTGATTTATACTCAAATAGGTTCTTATAAAATTAATATAACTAGGAAAAAAAAGAAAATATAATTCAAAATTCTCATGACTCAAAATGCATATTTTTATTGTGAGCTCTCAAGTGTTAGTGCCTTAAATTTTAGGGTCTTTTAATTTTTAATTTAATAATTTATTTTATAATAATCAAAGTCACACGAAAATTCTACAATCAGAATGTACCAGCCAAATTAAGCAATCAGATTGACACATATGCTTAATTTTACCCCAGAAACTAAAATAACCAGCTGTTTTTAATAGTTAACTGCAAGCAGAGCTTTAGGCTTAGATATGTAAATGAATTCTAAGACATATGAAACTAAACCTACTCAAAGCTGCTTTGCAGACCCCACCTTCTAATGAGTTAATCTAAAGGTCACCACCAGCACAAGGCTTTTTATTAAGTCCGAGGCCCTTTCTTTTTTTTAATTTCCTATCAAACATATATCTACAATTTACAAAACATGAAGTTTAAACAAAACAATTCTAGACTAGTTTAGTAATCATGTGAACCAGACTGGCACATTCTCACACGGAATAAGGTCTGATCGTATCTTGCTTTTATGCTCTGCCTCTCTTTGCTCTCTCCTCTAATCTATTCATCTGTAAAATAATTCCGGCAGATAAGATTTCTTTGTTCAGATTTCAACTTTCATTTCATTTACAAACCTAGCCCTACCTCAAGAATGTCTTCTAGAACATATGCTTCCATTTCAGCCGCTGTCTCCACCATGTTTTATCAAACTGCCATGTTTCTTACTGCACTATGATTAGATCATTGCCAGCAGGAACACTCCTCTGTGTCAGCAAGGGAACAGGAAATGGAATGTTCTATTACATGCCTAAAGCAGCTTAGCTGTTCACTAGCCAGGCATCTACCAAAAGAGCAGGGGGTGACTCACTGTGTATTTTTTAAAGATACAGAAGCTCTATTCCAAAGCAAACTTCTGTCAAGTAATTTCAACAGAGAAAATAGACAAAGTCTCTTATTTTACCATTTCAAATTTTAAAATCCTAAAATTAAAAAACATACTAATTATATATTTTTTAAAGCTATTTAACACGTCTGGCTTCCTGGTTGAACAAAAGAGGCTGAAGTGGGTTACGTAGCAATTTATCCTTAGTAAAGCCCGGTAGTGAGATTAATGGCTGTATTAAATACACAAAGAAGGAGGCAAGGTAATATCAAAGTAGGAATTCGCTACATTAGGCAAATGCATTATATAACACATATATTATAGGCGCTGACTTGAGAATGTCAAAGATAATGATCTTAATATAGATTTTTTAAAATAGTAAACTGGTTTCCCATAAACTAATCTGTTGGGAAATATCTGAGAGAACAAGATTAACATTCAACTGACTTACAATTACTGAAGCAAGACATAACACATCATGGTTGGATTCATTTTCTAGGAATGTCTTTAACTTCATTTACTAACCAAAGAAATGGCCTCCCCCTTATAAATACTACAAGAAACTAAATTTTTCAGCGAAATGGAATTCAGAAACACTATATCTGGATGATCAAACAGCAAATAAAGTGGGTGACTGACAGCAGAGCCAATTTATTTTATATTCATTACTGTAAGTGACCTTCAGTTTAGTAAAATTTGTTACTTTGTCAAACTTCCTCCTTATGTAATCTGGAAGAGGAAAAATGCAATGGGAAGGAACACTGTTTTATGCTCTGTAGCATTAATAAAATAATCCTGCACTTGTAGGGGTGCCATACAAACTAAACTTGAAACGAGCCCTCAATGTGCAGATTAACAAATCTAATTACAAGTCTAACCAATCTAATTACAAGGTGAACAGTTCTTCTAGTCTAAATTTTCCTAACCTAACTAAACAAAACGAATTTTTAAGAGGAAAGGAAAAAGACAGAAAAAAAACTAAGAGGGAGTTATCATTAACACATGTGGCCAAATCTAAGCTGAGAAAAGTGATGATATGAATGACACTGCCAGTAACATATCCTCAGAGTGATGCCATGTTAATAGCGGAAAGAGATTTTTGTAGTCCCTTGGGCCTCAGTTTAGTAACCTATAAAACAGGATAACATTCATGCAACATGGAATATCTACTCTATATCAGAAACTGCTCTAGGTACAGTCAAAAAGACAGATAAAATTTCGTCTTAACAGGTTCATATGAAGATTAAATGAGATAAAGTATTTACTACTCAGTTTCTGATATTCAGGAGGCACCCTTACTAAGTCAGGCAAAATATGAGTTATTTTTTTTAAATATACATGTTATTTAACCTTCACAATAACCCTCTAAGTGATAATAATTTAAAATAGTAACATTAATAATTACACTGCACTTCCTATATGGCATATGCCATTTTAAGTACTTTGTATACATTCACTCACTTAATTCTCACAATAATCCTAAAAAAAAGCTAGGTACTATTTTTATTTCCATTCTACACAGGTGGAAACTGAGGCATAGAGTGCCTAAGCAATTTGCCCTACTTACTCCAAATTTAGCTAATTAAATTGAAAAGCTAAGACTTGAACCCAGACAGTTGTCTCTGGAGTCCATCCTCTGAACCATCTACTAGACTTCCTCCAGGTGTTATTACCCTCATTTTACAGGTGAGGAAATCAAGTCTCAGAGAGTGCACACAGTTAGCAGAGTTAAGATGCAAACCCAGAATGGTCTGACTCCAAAGGCTATGTGAAATTAATGGAAAACAAATGATATTAAAAATGTTTTACCTCAGACCATACATAGTGCTTACATTTAAGCACGTGTATGCCTGGCATTTGGCGGCTTCTCAAACAAAATAATTTCCATTGTTAAGACCCAGCTTAAAGGAACTAGAAAACTGGCTTTTACTATTTCCTGCCTTCCAGGTCAATTCTTTCCATGCTTCAAATAAATGGCTTCATCCATAGACTAAGAGAAGTCATCAACAAGGTTTCTCTTTCTCAAACTTTCCTCCAACATAAACAAGTAAAGATAGGTTTGAGTTCAAAGAACTTACATATTGGAGCACTCGTTTCCCATAAACCAATAACAGACTTTCCAACTTCTTTGGACAAGAAATCCAGTCCCCTAAGGATCAAGTCAATCATATCATTCACTATCCTCTTCCGTTCTAGGATTATCAGATTGCTTCTCTTATGTTTTCTAATATTTGCTGTTAATTTTTTACTAATAAATATGTGATCATGCCTTTCCTACAGAATTATGAATGTTTATTTACCATTTATTATTGCTGTCCTTTACAGATCAGAAGTTAATGAAAGCAACACTTTTTTGGCCAATGTATACCCAGGGCCGGCACAGTCTTTGGCATAGAGCAGGTATTTAAATATTTGCTGACAAAATAACAAATGTATAAATAAAGGAATTGTCTGATATCCAGTAATGCATCCTAATCCCTTTTAAACTACTGCTACTACTAGGAATAATTTCTGATGGACAAAAATATTTGTTCTGTGATGATTATCTTTAGGTCACTAAAGGAAGCTATGATAAATACTCAATATAAACAAAATCTATATATCAGAATTTCTGTAATTCTTTGTTATAAAACAAAATAATTATTTCCTCTTAGTTTTATTTTCTGTTCCTTTTTGTTAATATGACCTAAGCCACAGCATAGGATACCCTAGGCAAAAAGATGTGAAAGGAGATTCAAATACATCTGCCTTAAGACCCTGTATCCTAAAAGAGAGCCACCTTCCTTGAAATGAGTTCAACCTCATTTTGTATTTCAGAAAACTTTTCCTATTTACTTAAATGGATTTCAATGGCACAAGTTCTTTCATTTTAGCCAATGGCAAAAGCATTGCAGTATAAATAGTAGTTAACATAGTAAGAGTTATGCAAATAAATGTAAACCAACACATATAAATAACATAAATCAAAAAAAAATTTACTAAAATAAGAAGATCCAAATGTCCAGAGTGAAGAAAAAAGCATCTTACAAAAAAGGGGGGAAAGGACATAGGAAGCTAAATAAATACCAAGACTGAATGAAGGAATCTTCTAAAATTTACAATTTTATTTAAGGCCAGCACTAGCTTCTTTGATCAAGAAACAAGAAAACCAAATACACACACACACACAGAAATGTGTTGACAAGCAAGCAACCCTATTTTGTATGATTTACTATTTTGTGGATGTTTGTTCCCCCCATAAAACTTTTTTTAATCAAAAGTTCCTTATAAAGGAGTTATGTTCCCATCAAATATTTTTTTTCTATTTAGGGAAGGGCAAGACTTTTAAAAATCCATATTTTCAAACAAAAAAAGGACAGATAATTGGTGGCAGGATAAATGTAATGATTTCATCTACCTAGATAAGAACAAATTACTTAGAAAAACAAAATGTTAACCAACTTCACCCTCTCAAAACATATGAAATGAAATGCTTACTTTAGAATAGTCTCAAATTTTCTCTTTTCTACGCTATAAGTTTTATTTTAGCAGAATTATGAAACCCAAGTGTAAAACAGCCTGAACCAAGCCTAAATGAGATACAAATATCAAAGAATTAAACAGAATTTAAATTAAGGGGCCGGCCCTGTGGCCGAGTGGTTAAGTTTGCACGCTCTGCTTCGGCAGCCCAGAGTTTCGCAGACATAGCACCACTCATCAAGCCATGCTGAGGCAGCATCCCACATGCCACAACTAGAAGGACCCACAACTAAAAATATACAACTATGTACCAGGGGGCTTTGGGAAAAATAAGGAAAAATAAAATCTTAAAAAAAAAAAAAAGTATTTAAATTAAAAGGCTAATAAAACCTGGTCAAATTTTTGAAAGCCCATATACTAAAAATGCTATCCCCATGATTTTACCTACTATTTCCCCTAAACTAATCATGCCACTATGACTGAGGGTCTAGATGTATGCCCAGTGTACCACAGTAACATTCTTTTCATTATCTCCACAGTTTACTTTCTTTTTTATTAACTACGGTTTTTATCTATGAAGTAATATATGTACGTGGAAAACATTCACATATAAAAGAGAATACAGGGAAAAGTAAACCTACCACTCACCAACCCCCAAGACACAACCAGTGAGTGTATCCTTCTAGAAATAACCTACATATACGAAGCACATCTTAGTGTAAAGATTACGGTTATACAAATGGAAGCAGAATAGGCATAATTTTCTACATCTCCACTTTTAAAATTTAATACTCTATGAAAATTCTTTCAGATGAGCGCACATAGATCTAGTTCTTTGATTTTGACAACTGCTTAAATTTTCACTGAAGAACTGTACAACAATTTAATCAGTTCCCTAGTGATAAGCAGTCGTGTTGTTTCGGTCATTTCATAATGCTGCAGTGAACATGCCCAATGAAAGAGCACTCACACACTGCACGTGCCTGAATATAACTGTGTGGCAAATTTCGTGCTAAGTACATATAATTAAAATTTTATGCTATCAAACTGCCCCCTAAACAAGTTGAACTAACTTATACTCTGACAATGAATAAGACTGCCTGCTTCCTTACAAATATTAAGTATTAATGATACAATATTTAAAAACCAAGATCAGAAATCAGCATCAGTTATGAAGCATCTTTCTAGGTTTATCCTTAGTTCCCATCATTTCGACTTTTCAAGAAATCTCAAACGAAAATTACACCTCCTCTCATATAACTTCTGCCCCTTACTAAAAAAATCTCATAAATTCATCCCCCGGCAGATTAAGAACTTCAGCTGATTATTTCCCAAAAAAAAGTCACAATGAAGATTTCTATCTATTTGTATGTAGTTGAAGAAAAGAAAATTGGGAGTCTACCCTTTTAAAAAACCTACTTCTGCTAAAATACAAATTCCAACCAGGTCTAGTAGGTTCTTTAAGTTAGGAGTAAATTAAGAAGTTTCTGCCAGAATTGAGTATTCTAAAGATCCAGAATTCTGATTATGTTCTCATTAGTAAATCACTAAAATACTGTTGGATAGATTTATTTGTTTACCTTCCACATTATTTCAAACTATTCATTTTTAAGGCATAAAATTTCAAAGTAATCTTTTCATCATTAGAAAAAAATCTAATGTATACTAAAAAGAAGACAGGGTCACACATAAGCAGTTTTTATTAACTAACACAAAACAGTTTCTATCTCAGTTTATCAATATAACATCCCAGGACTAATTTTGATGATAATATTTAAAAATATGAATGATTAAACCTTCACCAGAACCTCCAAAATAAACATAACAGTTGGACATGCTTCTAGATATGTGTAGGAATACCTAAAAGGCTTAGGTAACAAAGGATGAAGTAAGGATATATAAAATTGTAACTTCATGAATAAAATAATACAAAGGCCATCCAGTAGCATATTCTAAATGTGAGGAAGGGTATGAACTATTTTAGAATAATTTATTTTATTGCTTAAAAGAAATTTTTCAAGGCTGATACTATAACAAGCCCTAGTAAGCTTCTTTTTTTAAAAGATCATCATTAACATTTTCATCATTCATTTATACAAATATTTACTGCGTGCTTACTGGGTTGACAGCCTTTATACTAAACAATGGATAGAGAATGGCAAATAAAGTTAGTCCACCTCCAAGAGCCTACAATAAAATTTGATCCTGATTCTCAACAGAGTTTTCTTTTCTTTTCTTTTCTTTTGGTGAAGAAGATTGGCCCTGAGCCAACATCTATTGCCAATCTTCCTTTTTATGCTTGAGGGAGACTGTTGCTGAGCTAACATCTGTGCCAATCTTCCTCTATTTTATGTGGGACACTGCCACAGTGTGGCCTGACAAGCAGTGCTAGGTCCGTGCTTGGGATCCGAACCTGTGAATCCCAGGCCCCCAAAGCAGAGCATGTGAACTTAACCATTACACCACCAGGCCGATCCCTCAACAGAGTTTAACATCAAAATCTTTATTAATTTTTTTTCCTCTTCTCTGATTTATAGTCCTTTTACATCTTTAAGCCAATTAACAAAATCTAAAACTCCTCTTAGAACAGTGCAGAAAATATTACTATATTTAAACAAAATATTTCATCCAGATGTGTCCTACTAGAATGAAATACAAGCACAATCTTGTCCAAATATAAGTAAGATACTAAGCAAAGAAACAAAGCAGCTTGTCCCTCTTTTCACATCTCCAGTAACAGTTGTACCTATTGGACCCTTGTGCCTGTTGGACACTTGCATTTCTTATCTCTACCCATGATGGGTCACACCATGAATTCATTCTTTTTCCAGTATTTCACAAGAGGTTCTATGTATAAAAAATTAATAAAACACTTACTGTTTTTAGATCACATTCACCTCCCAAATTTGTCTATATTATACAACATTTTCAAATAAAAATAAAAACAAGCACATATATAATAGAAATTACTTATTTCAATGCTTTGGTTTTTCGTTGTTTTAAATAGGCTAAATCTACCGATAGTACAACACTCTCAATTTGGTCAGCAACACATTAACCATCTTCTGCTCTCAAGCAAGAATTATCTACAAACAAAAAGAAATACACCAAACACATACCTCAACCCTGGCACACACATACCCCATACATGCACAGTGGTGGGGAGAGTAGAGAAGCTGGGGATAAAAATACAAAATACAAGAAAAGACATAAGTCCAAAGCCAAGTTTTTAGAGTTATCAATTTCTATCACCCTTCTTCTGAACGATAACTGTCCTATTCTAGGGGACTGAAGAAATAGCTCCAGGAAACTCAAATTAGATGGTATGATAGTATCAAAGGCATGGAAAATAATCAGGGTGTAAATACCACCAAAGTAACCTCAGAATCCCAATGCCGTCACTGGCTCTCATTCTTTGGTTCCTTGACAGTCTAGGGTCCCTGACAACAACCTCCAATCAGTCTGGTCTCTCATGATGCCTGTTAACACTCTGTTATATCTAGCCTAATCTATTCCTAACAAATTTTGAACGGTTTGCATGCAAGCAATTATTCTAAGTACCAAAAGACTATTCTTTCAGATTCATAATTCCATCTCTAAGAAATGTATTACACTGAATTGCCTGTATCCACCAAGAGCTAGGCCAAAAATTACAAAATGGGGCACCATTCCCTGTTCCACTATCCTGATCCTGACCATGAGAGGATCTTTAGGGGTCTTCACATAAAGAGAATCTCAGAGTGTACCAGTGACATACTGAAGCTCCCAAGGTAGATATATAGACAGGATTCTAACACAACCCTCATACATATATATAAAGAAATACAGATTTCATTCAATGTAACTGTGAACTACCTCTTTGGTCATCATGAGGATATCTCACAACACAGCTATGTTAGGAGCAATGTTACCATTAACTTTCAACATCCCCCACAAATTTCGGAATCCAGTTTTCCTACAAGTCTCCAAGAAAAACTAACATAATATAAGAAAACAGAAAGCAATAATTAGAAACTTTTATGTGTGCAATAGATATCTCACTAGTATGCTTTATGAAATCAAATTTAACCCACATTCATATCTTTTAACTCCTCCATCACCAATTTCTTATCCAAGTCAAGTATTTTTAGAAAGCCTATCAACTCCCATCCTCTTCAAGAACATATACGCCAATGTCTCTCAGTGAAGGGAGTTAATAATGTTTAAAGGGTAGACAGTGAATCATTAATAGCTTACAAAATGCTTAAAAGCATAACTGAACTGCCAAATATAATTTTATACTTAATATTTGTTTTTGTATGCTTGGGGAAACCATCTCCCTCTTAAAACAAATTCCACAATTTCCAGTAAAATGCTTAGCTTTTAAAATATTTATCATTAAGTTATTTTAAGGGTATATTTTTGCATAACTCAGTTTTTTAGCACTCCAGCTTACTTAGAAAACTATGTACCAAATCTGAAACTATGTATCAAATCTGAAAAACATACAATTAGAAATCTCCTTCCCAAAA